ATCTGTACTTTATTTCAAGATTTTCTCTTTCCCATGAGTTCGCTTCAGTTCTTCTCAAAGAAAATCCTTTCGGACATGTCGTCTCTACTCTCATCTTCTACTGTTTTTTATTCACCTATTCCTTCCCTACTTCATGACATTCTGTAATGTAAAATGATCTATTAAAGTATCTAATGTCACTGCTATGTCCTGTATCTAGTTTTTATGTGTTATTCAGACTCTTGCTAGTCTCTGGAGCTTATAATGTGTAGTCTTTTTGAAGTTAACCTTACCTTTCTAGATCAGTTGATTTTACTATCATAGTGCACATCCAACGAAGAATGCTTGCATTACATCCCCATGCAAGAAGATTTCAACAAATGCTGCTTGAATTCGTCACTAGTCGAGTCGAGTTTCACAGACTTTCAATTTAAAATAACAACCCTGCCAGAAGGCTTCCGATCATTTGAGCCAACATATGTCAGGAATGCATGACGACATATCCCGCCAGCTCGTAGAACGATTTTCCTATCACTTTCTTAAGGCCGAAATGACAATCGTGATGTTTACATTTCTCTCTTCGTTTTCTTGTGCGATTTCCACATTCTTGTCGAACAAACAGAACACAGCTGAGCGATCGCATTGACGCCGAAGGAAATCAGCTTTGACAAAAACTTTTGGCTACATATTTTACACACATACAAACATTATTAAGATTCAGTTTTTATTCCAATATTTTAAATAGATTATTTACATGGTTTATATAGCATACAAAGGAGAATAATACAGCAATAAATTCATTTTCAAAAATCTGCAAAATATTGTAAGCAAAGTAATGCCATGCGTTGGTAATTCAGCTCCTCAGCTCTACGAACGCCTCCGTCATAATCGCGACTCCTTTGAAGTGTAAAGGCGTTAAAGTAAAATAAAAAATGAATATTCGAATCAGAATGTTATTAATATCCAAATGCAGTTGTGCCCTGTTTTAGCTGCAAAGTGAGCAGCGTCCATTACAGTCAAACTGCTCCATTAGCTGATCTTTCCATACGACAAGGAGTGCCCTTAAATAAACAAATGTAAAAAGCAATGAAAAATTAGGTACTTAATTAATCCCAAAATATATTATTTTTCTCTTCTATCTACTGCGGAGAAAACGATTAAAAATGGCGTTCTACTCAAAAAAAAAACAGAGAAAATCAGATAATCCGTTAAACTGTGTTCTTCTTCAATTTGTATGTACTCAGAAGAGAAAGATTAACAAAAAATGTGCATATGTGTTAGTGCTGCATGAAATCGAGTGAGTGTATTTGTGAACCCATCAGCCCGTTCTTGCAGGGAAATGAATATGAGAGCTGATCGTCATGGAACCATTGGTAATGATTTTTCACATTAACTGCAAAAACTTGGTGAAGTAATTTGTCAACTCGTTCTGGATAAGCCCCTAGTGCAAATAGTTAATAATTTAGAAATTGCAATACATACAATATGCCCCGACATCGAGTATTTGTAAGAAAGAAACTACCATTTGTTCTGTTCTAGGGAAATGGCTTCTCCCTCAACTTGCACAACACCTCTATGAGCGCATTTGTTAGGAATACGAAAATAGGTCTAGCTTATGAATTATTGAGTTTCAACAAGATCGAAAACTGATATTACGAATTCCGTAATAAAGAGTAAGTATCTTGTAATGCATCGACCGACTGCATTACGCGTCGAATTGGAATGACACCGAGATTCGAGAAACGAGACCCATTTGCAAAAAGAAAAGCAGCCGACTGCCAATGTTCTGTAATTCAGCTTTACAAGGGGATTAACAAAAGTTCGGTAAGTTTACTAGAAAAAAATTGTGTTTGTTCGTAATCTTTTTCATTTCTTACCTTCTCTACCTAATCGCCATTGGTTTCAATACATTTCTTAAGGCTATAGGCCTACTTCTGAAAGCAGTCTACAAAATCTTGCTTTTTCAGCTTATCAAGTTCAGCATTAACCGCATTAATTATCTCCTCGTTACTATTAAAGACCTTTCCTTTGATTTTTTAATTTTTGGAACAGAACATCAAAAGGTGCTATATCCAGGGAATATGGTGCTAGGCGTATTTCTTCGATTCCAGAGATCGCAATAAAATTATTCATTATTTCAGCAGTGTGGGATGGCGCCTTGTCAGCGCCGGAAAAAGGAACTCCCTCTGGTTTTTCAATAAGTTTTTGAAAACTTTTGGTAAGCACTCTTCGGTGTAGCTCTTCGATCTGACCATTTTCCAGTGGAATACCAGCTACGATTGTAGAATGGGTGAGGTAAACTGACATCATAACTTTTGCTGTTGTTTTTGTTGCTTAGATTTTACATGTGGGTTTGCTCCTTTTGTACCCCATACCATGGACTGCTGTTTGGCTTCTGGAACCAAGATTCGTCACCAGTAACGACCTTACTAAAGTTGCTAAGCAAATTGAGCAAAATGCACTCGAGCCTTTTTGAGGCCTCATTTAAAAATCCTGGTACGAATCGAGCAGATTTCTTCGTGTATCTCAGATGATTACTTAATATTTGCGAGACAGCCATGGATGGCGTTCAATCACAATTCAGTAGCAATCATTTCTTAAGCCAATCGTGGGTCTTCGTCAATTTTGGACTTCACCAGAGCGCCAGTGACGTCATCAGTGGAAGATTTTGGTCGACCTTCTCCGAGCTCGAAAAATGCCTGGTTTGGAATCTTCGGAACCACTTAGACATATTCTTTAAACAATCGTTCCATATGCAATTTGATATTCACTAAATATTTGTGTTGGCTGTAAATTACGCCGAAACCCGAAGATAACCACATGACGAATTCACATTGGCGTTGGTGGTGGAACTTCGTTTCCCCAGCTATGTTGCGTTTTCTCATCTCCATTTTAGTCGATCGTTTTAAAATTTGAAAGGAAGACTAATAAAGCAATTGCGAAGGATTTGGTATTTTTAGAATTAACAAAAACAAATTGAAAGTCACCATCCAATCGTATATAAGACTTTCTACTAATTTAGTGACTGATTAATCCTTAACGATGAATCACTTATCAGCTCTGAGACACTGAAAGTGTCGGCTTTAAATTTGACATCAAGTAAGAAGTTGTATCTAGCCGTAGTGGGTATCCTTGCAAAACTTACACGCCTTTATTTCCAACCCACTTATAGTAAAGATTTTTTCGTGCGACTTTCTTAAACTAATACCGTATAAAATTATACCGTTTACTGGGAAGAGCCAAAGAGATACAATCTTACGAATCTTAGTGGTTTTCACAACCGTGCCGATTGTACAGCTTTTGCAGATTAGTAAGCTCATAAGTCGTAACGAGAACAATCACAAGATGAAATAACTCCTGCCCTCAGGCAAACATTCGGAAACTCCACCTTCACCGAGCGTTTCATACAGGACGGCTTTGAACAGCTTAGTGAAAAGTACCTTCCGCTGCTTGTTATGCTCTGAATGCCAGTTCCTAGAGAAGTTCTTTTATTAAATGTATATATATCTGTAGATATACTTTTCTTCCATTTCCAATTAAGGTTCTGTTTATCCTTCCCTTCTGAGTACATACAAACTGAAGGAGTAGAACGCCATTTTTTACCGTTAACGAGTACGGAAAATTCAGCTAATGGAGCAGATTGACTGGAATGGACGCTGCTCACTTTGCAACAACAGCAGGTTTAAAAATATTCAAAAAAACTGTGCAAGGTCCAACTGCATTTAGATATTAATAACATTCTGATTCGAATATTCATTTTTTATATTGCTTAAACGTCTTTAAACTTGAAAGAAGTTGCGATTATGACGGGACGTTCGTAGAGCTGAGGAGCTGAATTACCAACGCATGGCATGGTTTTGCTTACAATATTTTGCAGATTTTTGAAAATGAATTTATTGCTGTATTATTTTCCCTTGTATGCTATATAAACCACGTAAATAATCTATTAAAAATATTGGAATAAAAACTGAATCTTAATAATGTTTGTATGTGTGTATATATTTTAGGGAAAAATTTTTGTCAAAGCTGATTTCCTTCGACATCAATGCTATCGCTCATACATATGACTTCGCCTTGCTGCTATTGTTTTTTTGAGGAAAATGCACAAGGAAATGAAAAGCGAATGACGTACACGTATGCAAATATATACATCACATATGTTATTTCGGCCCTAAGAAAGTGATGGGAAATCGTTCTACTAGCTGACTGCATATGGCATCATGTATTCCTGACATATGTTGACTCAAATGATCGGAAGCCTTCTTGCAGGGCACGTTGGCTAATGTTAAAAGAAGATATACATACAAAGCAACCAATGAAAGAAAAACTTAAGGAAGTGAAGCCGTGCCCACGGGGAGAGGTTTTGGAGGTTCAAACCGTCCTCCCATGGTCGAATTTAAATTGAAAATACGGTTATGACATCATGCATTCCTGACTTATGTTGGCTCAAACGATCGGATGACTTCTTGCAGGGCTGTTAAAAAGTAAATTAAATATTTCTTTTGGCATGTTGAACATCAAATAGAAGGCAATTTTGTCATCTATTCAACTAGCGCTTTTTTATATGGGGTTAATAAATCATTTTTTTAAGAAAAAAGAGTATTTTAATAAAAAAAGATCCATTTTTAAAGTTTTCATCCCTTGATTTAAAATATTTAAATACGTTTGTGCATATCAAATTAAAGGTATTTTAATTTCCTGTGCAGCAGTACCAGTAATATGAAAATCAGCTTAGTATTTTTTGAATTATAGGCAGTACAGAAATTGGTAATTACCCTCTTTTTCACCGCCATAATATTCATTTGCGCACGAAATGTTATGCATATATATGTGAATTCATTTAAATATGGCGAATCACGCCCACTATTTTATTTTTCCAGGGGCGGCATGTCGGTATTCTACATTTATACCCTCTTTTATTTATCTATTTCACTAAAGCTCCAAACAATGTTTAATACTCGAACACGCGACTCTGATGAATGATTGATTTATGTTGCTGGCAACTCTGCATATCGAAAACAAATAAACAGCTGATTGCAGCATTTTTGTTGAATTCACATAGTACATGGTTATTTTATTTGTTGTCCTTTTTAAATTTAATAAAATCATTTCAGAAGAAAAGTCTAGGGTATTAAAAATGTTGCGAAAAAAGAACTCTAAAGCAAAAACTGTGTCAGATAAAATAACCGAATTATTGACGCGGAACGCCAATAGTGAGAATGAGAGCAGCGATGATCAAACCGAAGATCCACGTGTGGAGGAAGAATTCGATGAATACGATTTGCCCGATGCACGCACATCAGATATAAGAAAACGTAATGTTAAGTTGTTGTCGGAACAAAGTGCGCGTTATAGGGGTAAAATTTCTTCACGGCTTGAGCTGGAGGCAGAAGAAGATACAAATAATTCTGAAGATAATGATGTTGACGATGAACAAGAAGAGGAAGATTACTCTTCCGAGGATGATGACAGTGCGTTGAAAGCATTTGCCAAAAAAATGAATGGTTCTAATAGAAAAGTGGAAAGTGCAGCTTCCCATGTGGATGAGGATGAGGATGATAGTGAGGACGGCTTAGACAAGATTACAAATTTCGAGGATAACGATAGTGAATTAGAAGAAGGAAATTCTGAGGAGGAAGACGAAGAAGATGACGATGAGGACGGCATTGAGAGTGAAGATGACGATGATGTTAGTGAGGAAGACAATGCAGATGGCACAGAGATAATCGCTGAAAAAAACCGACAAGTTGAAATACAAAAAGGACAATGTGTACAAAACCAACTCCAAATTTGGGAACGTTTATTAGAAGCTCGAATAAGCACACAAAAAATTATTAGTAAATCGAATCAATTGCCTGCTCCCGAAACACTCAAAGCACAGCAACAAGAAAATGAAAAGCTTGAAAAAGTTTCAGGTGAAAGCGTGAAAAACGTTAGTAAATTACTTAGCTCCTTGTTACAACTACAAAGCGCCTTATCACAACAATTTTCCGAACAACGTAACGCACTGAAGAAGTCTCTAAAACGTGCTGTACCCAAACTTGATACGGAAAATGATAGCCCAGTACCAATCAATCGTTTCGCTGAACACATAGATGCACATTTCCAAGAATTTAAACCCTACCGCAATGTCGTGCTACTCAAATGGGATGATCGCACTAAACTGCTTACACCAGGCGCTGGCGCCAAAAAGAAATCCCTCACCGAAGATTATGATATTATACGCAAAATTGAGAACACACTTCAAAATCGTACAACACTCATAGAAAAATCGCAAACCATAAAAGATGGCGACGATGACAACGTAGAGAATGTGCTAGATGACAATGGTGAAGTGGTGCATAAATTAAAACGCAACGTAGAGTTATACGACGATAGCGATTTTTATCATCAGCAATTGCGTGAACTTATCGAATATAAAACCAATACATCGGTGAGCGCTAGCGAAGTGACGCAACAGTATATGGAGTTGCAGAAATTGCGTCAAAAAATGAAGAAAAAGGTGGATACACGAGCCAGTAAAGGGCGCAAATTGCGGTAAGTGCGAAAGACTAGGGAAATAAAAAGAAATACTAAGTTTTAATTTTTCAATTCCAGTTACACCGTGCACAACAAGTTGATAAATTTCATGGCACCTGATGACACTTCAACATGGACGGAAGAATCGAAAGATGAATTGTATAGATCGTTATTTGCAGCTTAAGTTAATAAATAAAAGTGAAGAGTTCTTATTGAAATAAAACATACTGTACTGTGCCTGTAAATAATTACTAAAGACTAATTTTCTTTGCCAAAAAACTTCTTCTCTTATCAAATTGACACGCAAAATAATACATACAGTCGCTATGAATATATTTTTCAGTTTTCTATTATTTATTTATTAAACATACTCGTTGTGTCATGTGTGCGCACAACTTCAAAATTTTCTGCATCACTGATACAGGTATTATTAATTATCCTTTTTATTTAAGTGCCTTAATAAATTTTCTTAATGCCAAATTTTTTGTTAGAGTTTAAATTAGCGTAATATCTCTATTTTTTACGGTATTTCTTCATATTTCCTTTTTCCTGTATTAGTAATTGGAACAAAAACCAAATTGTATTTATTTATCTTTTTTTTTGTTCTGTATTATTACCGCAACCATAACTTTTTTTTTTTTGAATATTTTAAAAATTATTGTTTGTTATCGTTTTTAGTTAGGTAGGTGTGTATGTATATTGTTATGTACTCGTATTAGGTGTAGAAAAGGGAGTTTTCTTAGTGTGGTATATACAACCTAGTATATTTTAATACAGATAGATCTCTTGTGGCTTTTGAGTCATATCTTATCGCTGCAAATGTGACATTGGAGTGAATTTAGAACGTTTCACATCTTAAACTCGTCCCGGTCCGCTGGAAGTATTTTTAAAATATAATTTGCAATGACATAACGAGATTTCCATTAAATGTGGTTTAAAAATAATCAAATTTCATTAATTAATAATGTTGAGATTTAATACAAAAGAAAACAAAAGAAATGAATATTTAAGATCATGGCAAAAACATATTCCTCAAAATCTTCTGTACAAACGTTGCTTATAAATCTCGATAATGTCGTGCACGTAGATGCGCAGCTTTAGGCGAACGGCGAGTCTATAAAAGTTTAGTGCTACCCAGCTGCGTGTTTTATTTGCTCTCTTTCTCTACTAAATCCACGTTTTCACGACAGTCAACTATTGCTTGGTATTTGTTTTTCAATAATTTCAGTAGATAAAAAGCACATTAGTATTTAGGTATCATTGTATCTATATATTGTATTGTATATTGTTTTATTCAATTTTATATAGGTATCTTTTTATATTTATATGTTATTAAATGGTATGTATGTATAATTTGCGCATGGATTGTGTTTTTTTCTTTTCATTTATTTAATTTACTTTTTGTTTCTTGTGTGTATATGTACTATGTATGTTTGTATGTATTGTATATAGTTGATTATTTATTTATTTATATTGTGAATGCTACAAGAGAATCCGCACAATATGTGGTGAGTGTGGTGTATGCATTTCTTTTCTGGTGTCCTTTTTTTATTTTTGCTTTTGCTTAATTTTATTATTCGAAGTTAGAAGTCTATCATTTCATGTAACTGTGAAATTTTTCTAGGCATTATTTTAAATGGCCCATAACAGTTGCACATTGGTATTAATTGGTTAAAATATAGCTATGTATGATGTATGTATGCATGTATGTAGGTTTTGTTACAAGAGTTATTTTATTTATTTTTTTTTATTTTTATATACGTATTTTTTTTTTTTTTTTTTGAATTTGCTGTTGATTTTCATTTGCAATTATATAGTAATAATACAAAAAATTACAGCAATTACATGAAGTCGGTTTTTCGTATTTAGTCAAAGTTAACCACAACGCCATTGTTGATATTGAACAAACATCAGCATTAATATCAACTCAATTTAGAAATTTCAGCATATACAGCGTTTGGCGATGTCATTTAATTATCATAGGTATACAAGTAAATTACGAATAAATTAAAACTTAACAAATACAGTTATAATAGTCACACGCATTTACAATACAAATATATTTTATAAATTTAGTATTTATAGTATATTTTGTTTTAATACGATTTTTCTTTTACTAACCTTTCCAATACACTGTGTTTTCTACAATGTGTTTTGTTTTTGTTTTTGTTTTCTTTTTTCTAGTTATCTTGTTGCATATGCGTTTGTTTACATGCGTAATGTAGATTATGGAACTAATACAATATAAACATTAAAAAGAAAAATATTTAATGTTATAGATAATATTCGATATATAAACAATACTTTAATGTTTCTACAAATGCTAGCTTTGCGATTAACTGGTAAAAATGGAAATATCAAAATTCATTTTTGTAAAAAATGTGTATGTGTATGTGTAAATACTAATTTTTTCTACCGTTTGTAATTTTAAATGAGATTGCTCTGCTTAATGGCACAGATTTTGTCCAGCATTACATTTACAAATCAATATATAATTTTACTTAAAAGTATTACGTAATATAATAAATAAATGATAACAGTTGCAGTAATATTCAATAAGCTAATAAGAATATGTACTAAAATATCAAAATTTCATCAGTTAAGGAAAATCTTTGTCCAAATCATGAATAGATGCACTCGCACTATGTTAAATTTTATCATATGTAATTAAATCGTTTCACGAATATATGTATATAATTTGCGCGTTCGTTTATAATATATGCATATTCAGCTACCATTTGGTTGTTGTTGTTTTTTCTTCCACATTTTTTTCGTTTTCTTCGAGACAAATTATTAAATATTGCACAACGGAAATTAAATTAAAAATATATATGTATATAAATTAGACATATAGACATGAAATATATATATATATATTTATGTAAGTATGTATGTTTGTATATGATGATGTATGTATGTGTTGTATGATTATAAATTCTTAAATATTGGGCACAGGTTGTGTTGGTCGTTGATTTACGTACGTTTGTTTTTTCAGCATCATTTCAGTTTCGCCACAAAAAGTTCACAATAAAAATTTCCATATTCAACATTCGTTAGTATTAATTTTAAATATAATGTTGTAAATTCTATCCTTTCTCATTGTTATTGATGTTAATTATTTATGGAGTTTTTTAATAGTAGCGGTAAACCAGTTTTAGTTTTTGATTTTGAAACAAGTATGGTCGCAGTCTTGCCACTAGCGCCACCACCACCACCACCACCACTTGTCATTTGTGTGGCCACTTTATTGGGTGATACAACGCCAGCAACTGCGGCGGCGGTGATATTAGCCGTTGTAGCTGCTGCAGCATTAGTACTAGTATTTGCAGTCACTGTATTTGTAGTGATAGTAAATGTTGCTGTGCAACCGGTTACCGGCAAATGTTGCTGGCCGGTATTGGTAGCCGTTGTTAGTAGTGTACTTCTACTTGTGGCTACTTGTGTTTGACGTTGATGTAACTCTTGCAATAGTACCGAATGTTTATTCATGGCTCGTAAAACTTGTGGTCTAATTATTTTCTCACTACTACTCGCTGATTGATGAAATTGCTGACTGCTAGTATAATATTTTTGTGTATCATCACATGTTTCGTTGAGAGATTGTAATTGTGAGTGTATGGAAGTTATATTGGACAGTGTGCTTTCTGCGTCACCACCACCAACACCACCAGCACCACTGCTGCCGCTTGTAGCACCATATTTTTTAATGGTTATCGTTTGCTGTTGTAATTGTTGCTCAACACCTGAAACCTACAAATGAATGTATATTGATTGATGTTTTAATATTATGATATATTAATCTTGTCTTGTATGAAATACCTTTTTAAAATAGCCCACATCTTTATCTCAAGTGCTTTTAGTTGGATGAATTATATTTTCCATGTCTTTTTGTACACTAAACAATTCCGTTAAGTGTTTGGAAAATATTATATTTAACTCACTCAATTTCGCCATTTGCTAAGTGAAGAAGAGATTTTTTTATAAGGTATTTGTATGATATAAATTGATCTACACTACTTACATTATGATCCAGACTCTTGTCTCTTAAACTCATATTTGCCGCTTTCAATTCAATTTCTTGACTCATTAATTCATTTTCTAGTGATTCAATGCGACCTTTCAATAAACCTATTTCTCGTCGTAAGTCTTCAGCTATTTCACCACCACCAGAAGCCCCACCAACTACACTACCTCCACCACCGACACGAATTACATCCAAATCACGTTTTAGTCGTATATTCTCTTCCTTATAAGTGTGCAATTGACGTTTCCACTCGTCCACATTTGCCGTTGATTCCTACAAGTAAGTTCCCATTTATTTAGTAATTCGTAAATATATATGTAAGCATATAAATTATTATACAATACCTGTAATGCGCTTGTTAGGCGAATATTATTATTCTTCAATGTGGCCAATTCGATTTCCCACTTCTTAGCATTAGCACAGCTTCAAAAACAAAATGCAAATAAATAAAGGTAAATATTATAAACTTGGATGCTCACTCACCTTTGGGCAAGAGCCATTTTAAGTCGCTCATTCTCGTATTTAAGTTGTTGTTCACCTGTAGCGCCAGCACTTCCGCCTGTATGCACACCGACAATACTGCCACTTGAGGAGACTGTTACCGCTGTGGGTGCTGGTGATGGAGAGGCGCCTGCAGCCATCTCTTGTTTGCTATCCGCTGCTGGTAACAATTTATGAGATGGACTGTCCGGATTAGCATTTTGTGTATTCGTATTGGACATATTTGGTGGTTCCACAGTATGCGGATCGATGGTAGTGTTATCATTCTGCTGCATGCGCGAAGATATTGGTGATGTGTTAGCCGAAGTTGTTGGTGTCACGACAGTAGAGCCTGTGGCACGAATTGTATAAATAAAGATTTAAGGTAAAACGCTTTAAAAACTTACATACAATTTTTATTCTTCCATCTACTTACCATTTGCAGCCTTTATAGCATTTTTTGTTGCCTCCTTAACCTCTTGAAATTTTTCAACAAACTGCAAAAATGTTTAGCTATAAAACGGTAAAATTAGCAGACACCATTTATATTTACCTTTGTTAATTCCGCCTCAGAGGCAAATCCCAGACCATAAACCGTATTTGCACGCACATCACTCCATTGTCCAAACTTTTGAGATGTCTGAGTAAATGTCATATTGGGCGTGATGGTGGAATTAATGACGGCTTTTGTTCCTTCTACACTGATGATTCGGTAAAGATTACGGGACGAATCATAAAAGAAACTCACATTGACTGCTTTCATACTCGCTGTAATCCATGTGCGCTTCGTCTTCGGGTCAATGTGGAAGACATGAGCCTGGCAGGTGAAAATCGGTTGCTCGCTAGTAACGAATTATAAATATTACAAGCATATGAGAGATTACTAGTATAAATGTGCACATATGTGAAGCTTCAGCATATATTATTCCATTAATATTATATTAACTTAGTTAGGTAGCATATTTTATCAGTCAACCATTAAAGCCATTTGCATGCACGTATTTAGCAGCTTCATCAAGTTTTCAAAACATATTATACCCGACCATGAAATCCCAAAGGGACTCGCGCCCCTATAAAAGTACATATGAAGATTTGTGACAATTGCATTTATATATACATTCACGGCTTATTACAAAATGTATCTTATTAGATCACAGATGCTCTTTCCTAATGTTAGTTTGTTTCTCTAAACGAATAACAAGTGTAATTTGTATATATTCTTTGCTTCTTCATTTAGGTATTCATTTAATTGAGGTCTCGGCTACTCAAATTCGGCATACAACGGGCGGGGACTTTTGCAAAAATAGCTGCAGCGATCACAAACAGTAACTTTTTTTCTCAAACACAACACCGCAATATTATAATATTTTCAAATGAAAACTTGTAAATTACATTTACTATTGCTAAATATTTACCCCATTTTCTTTATTTGTTCCTGAAAACTCCGGCTTTTCGAGCTTTTTACAAAAATTTTTTCGGTTTCGATTTTTCCAATTATTCTAGTGTTGGTGTCAAACAATTACTGTGCTGCCGGACTTAAATGCGAATTACTGTTATAATAATCCCATTTGTCAAAAAGGTAACATGAAATGTTTATAACAGAGTTTTAGCAGACGTTGCATTAAAATACGTTTACATAAATTATAGTTGGATTCTATCTAGCAAGTTGCTAACTCCATTCAAAATTTTATCAAGTATTTTATTCAGGAGATGGGTTTTGAAACTGTATGTTAATACCATGTTATTTCTATATACATTCGATGTCTATAAAATTGTTTCGTGACCTTCCATATCTCACGTGGTCATATAATAAACCTGCCGGCAGCCATCGTTCCTTTCCCTAGAGCCTGCCATTGCCTTTACTGTGACACCTATGTAATTTATGTATATTATGATGATTATGATGATAGAGATTATCCACTACAATTAACTTGTACAATAAATTCTCATTTATGTATAAGTTTAAGCTAATCATGAAATTGAGTCAGTGAACAGTTTATGGAGCAATTTGACTCTGCCTTTCGAATTGATTTCCATCAAGAACGAGTGCCTTGTATCCATTGTGCAATTCTTTTGTAAGTGTTTATTAAATATACATAAGAACTCTTAGCTCATAGAGAAGAGCGCAACAATACAGGGGCTAATATATCCCGTGCGGGAAACCTCATTTGCTGCAGTTAAGACTCACATCTCTTTCGCATAAATTTTTACAATCTTTGAATTTCTACAACTGAGATTTGATTTGAATGGGCAAAGAACGTGTACAGTAAATTGATAAAATATCTGGACAGAAAGTTGCGCAAACAAAGTTTCTCTTGGATGTGCAAATACACCTGTGTCCTGATAATCGATAACAGCATTCAAATATGTATTTGGAAATGTCATTGGCTATCACATTCTGATTGGAATGTCAGAGTTATCAACTGTATTCACTGAAAAGAGTTTCGGCTTTAATTTGGAAAAGAGTATTAAATTTGTGAAAGATTTTGAAGTTCTGGACGTTAAGAACGACTTATGTTCCAGCTTAACAACAACATTTGTTAAACTAGACAGGCGATTAGCTAAGTTATCATATTTATATTAATACTGAAAAAGGAGATCAACGTGAGAGTTTGACAAGTGCGCTACAGTTCATTGCAGCACTGTTATTAACCTGTAATACAGCAACACTGTTGTGTACTGTGTGTACCCAATTTGTCAATTTTTCGCAAAGGCACAGCAAAGATAGCGACAGTGATTCTTATACAATTTTATTAAGTTAATTTTAACAAAAATCTTTACAAGAAAGTAATTGGAAAATAGTGAAAATCGTGCTAACGCTGCTTGCTATAAGCGCAAAAGATTCCATGCAGCGTGGGGAACGTACAGATTGGGCAAGTTAAAGCACAAGCTGTAGCAACCAACCATAACTACCTACACATATGACTTTAGGCCGCTAATAGGAATTTTTGGGCTTGGACGGTTTTACTATTAACAAAAGTACTACAAAAAGATGTCCGATGATTTTAAATTAACACCATTATATTTTATCCTAAATGGGTGTTGAGGAAACGAATAATCCAAAAATACAGTTTTAAGGAAATTGCACAGTCTTTACAACGCCCATGTATGTATGTAGGCTATTAAGGGATGCTCTTTCTGTTATCTTTGACACTAGTTTTCTGTAAGAAACTTTGGTAAGGAAATGGTGTTAATGATTATTGTATCAATGGAGAGGAGCAGCATAATTTTTTTTGTATCATATATGTTAAAATCTTGTGTGTTCACCGCGAAGACCAAATTACAAGAAGTTGAAATGTGTAAAGTGAAATGGGCGTAGTGCCAATATTAATGTTTGACCAATGCATGCTAATTGGAGAGAGCACTCATTTTGCTGAAAAACTGGCTAAAAAGAAAATATGCTGCAATAAAAATAAACTACATACGGCTAAAAAAAAATTCCTTTTATGCTTATTTACAAACACACACATATACATCTTTAATGCCTATACAACCTACTTATGTACTCGTACTAATCTTGATATATCAAAGCTGTTGGTCACTTATCATGACATCAACAGTGTTCGATAGTTATAAGTTTTTGTTGTTATAGTAAAGTGTGTTAGTTTATCATAGTTTAATGACCTTGAAAGTTTGAGACAGCAGAGCTCCTTTGTAATTATTGCTCGAAAATAACGTGTTTTTTATAATTTTTTTTAATATAGCTTTTGTGCGTGTGAGTGAGAAATTAAAATGTGGAATATGATGTGCGATGTAATGCCAACAATTTCGGAGGATAGCATCTCCCAGAGATCCTCGCAATTCAGCGGAGAAGATGCCAATTTTGAGCAGCTTATGGTGTCCATGTTGGACGAACGTGACAAATTGATGGACAGTTTGCGTGAAGCTCAAGAGCGTCTGAGCGAAACAGAAGTGAAGTTACATGATGTGGAAAAGGAGCGGGATAGTTTACAGCGGCAGATAAATGCTAACTTACCTCAAGTAAAAAAAAAAAATAATAATAATAATTAAATATAAACACACTTTTATATATGTATGTATATGCAAACATAAACAAATTTTGTAGGAATTCGCTAGTTTAACTAAAGAACTTACGCAAGCGCGGGAAACACTACTTGAACGCGACGAGGAAATAGGCGAGCTGAAGGCTGAACGCAATAATACCAGAGTAAGAATTCAAATAATTTTATCGGGCTAAGTTAATTTGAAACACTCTTACTTCCAGCTGCTTTTGGAACATCTGGAATGTTTAGTCGCACGTCACGAACGTTCTTTGCGTATGACAGTTGTGAAACGACAGGCCGCTGCTCAGAGTGGTGTCTCCAGTGAGGTGGAAGTTCTAAAAGCATTAAAGAGTCTATTCGAACATCATAAAGCATTAGATGAAAAAGTACGCGAACGCCTGCGTTTATCGATCGAAAAGAATAATTCGCTCGAAGAGGAATTAAACTCAACCAAAGAAGAGGTTGGTGAGATTACAACCGAAATTTATTACATTTCAATAAGAAATATTGTTTGTTACAGCTTCAGCAATATAAAACTGGTGCAATACAAGCAAATCGGGAGGTTAGCAATGAAAATGGAGTAATTGAGAAGGTATTCTATCAATGAATTTGTTTATATTGAAAACCTAAACACTCATTAACATATCTGCTAACCCACAGACTGCAAGCGGACTTAATGGTGAAAGCAATGAGTCAAACGATTATGCTGCGAAAACGCATGAGCTGCAAACAATAATCGAAAAACAAGTAAAAAAATTTCATTATAGTACTTTTAGTGTGTCATTGAATTTATTTGTCTGCTCTGTAGACCGCTGAGCTTTCGCAATGGCAGCGACGTGTTTCCGATTTGAATAGTAAAATTTGTGAGATAGAGGAGAATTTAAGCAGAACTCAAAAGGAGCTGTGTAAGTCACAAGAACAATGTTCGAAGCTACAGAGAGATTTGAGAGAAAATGTAGCACAGAAGGAAGATCAGGTTTGTGTTGAATTAAATATGAAATTAAATATACAAATAGAAAAAACTTAATTTAAAAATACAAATTTAAAATATTTATATATTAAGGAGGAACGCATCACCACTTTGGAGAAACGTTATCTAAATGCTCAACGTGAATCAACATCTTTGCATGATTTAAATGAGAAATTGGAGCAAGAATTGCGCCATAAAGAAGCACAAATTAAGGTATGTCAACAATTGGAATTGCATTTATACATATATACAGATATCAAATGGATATAATTCTATTTTATTTTTATCTTTTAAAGTTACATGAAGAGAAAATTTGCGCAATCGAAGAAAAATTGGAGTTGTCGGAACAAAAATTGGCTCAGCAGGCGAAATTACAGCCTGATATGGAAGAACAACTTAAAGCACGCATGGAAGCTTTGACAAAGGTAGGAAATAAGGTATGCGCGATTGGTTTACTTACAAATGTGATGTGATGTGGTGTGTAGTACGTATATAGTGGCGTTGTATGCTTGTGAGACGCTTCGTTTTTGCACTTGAGTATGTAGTACCCAAATAAATTATTGTTTTGAATCCCTCTGCCCCCTACTAGTTGGTTGTTACTTGTCACTTACAATTAATACGCGCCTACCTTCTCTATTCTTTATTCTATAGGCACAAGAACGTCATGGTTCAGCCGAAGATCGCATACAGCGTTTGGAGGCCAATTTGGATGAGAAGAATGCTGAAGTTTTAAGACTGAACCAAAGGCTAAAAATGAACGAAGAGCACAATTTAAGGTTGTCGTCCACTGTGGACAAATTGCTTTCTGAATCAAATGAGCGTTTGCAAGTACACTTAAAGGAGCGTATGCATGCACTCGATGAGAAAAATACATTGTCGCAAGAATTGGAGAAAGCACGAAAAATGGCCGAGGAACTGCATCACCAGAAGGGTGAAATTATGAAAGAATTGTCTAAGACACGTTTGGAAATAGAGAATTTCAAACGACAATTACTACAGCAAGAGATCGCTTACAACATACAACAAACCGAGGCACTAACTCGTAGTCTCTCACCCAGCAGTGCCATAGACGGTGGCGCTTTCTCACGGAGCACCTCGCATGCCAGCTTCGATACGCATTCGTTGCGTCGCAGTAAATCGCGCATGCAAGAAGAAGCCAATATTGCACGATCTATGGCCGAACAGGAATGGGAAAATCTGCAGCAGGCGCATGCGCAACAAGCCTACGAAATGTCTGCTGCTGTGGCAGCTGCAGCTGCTGCCGAATGCGAGGATAGTGAAGCAGCGGCAGCCGCTGCCATGTATGCTGCCTCTGATATGATGTCACCCTCCGGACATGCGGACGCACAAACCCTAGCGATGATGCTGCAAGAGCAATTGGATGCCATTAATAATGAGATTCGTTTGATACAAGAGGAAAAGCAATCGACCGAGGCACGCGCGGAAGAGCTTGAGTCGCGCGTAGGCAGTTTAGAGCATGTAAATTTGTTAGCGCGAGGCCGTTCAATGGACCGCCAGAGTCCACCTATGAGTGGGCGTAGCACACCAAATAGCCCAAACAGAGATTTCCTACAAAAGTATCATACGGTAAGAGAGACAAAAAATGTTTCCTTCAATTATTTAAACTCAAAAGTATATTTATAACAGTTGAATTTGCCTGTTTTGTCGAGCGACATATCGCGCGATGACATACATGGCATGTCTACCGCTGGCGATTCGAGTTCAGGCGGTGCGGCATCACCACTTACCGCTAGATCAATGCGTCTCGAACGCGTCGCGCAAGCGTTGGCACACAGCCAAGAGGAATTGCGGCGACGTTCGGTAGGCATATCACCAAATCAAGGCATGGATCACACAAGGTAAGCAAAGCGCTAGCGGCATATGGTTTTTTTTTTGTTTTTTTTTTTTTTGTTTTTTTTTAATAATTTTGTAATTGTTTTCTTACGTTGCAGTCACGTGCCCTTGCCGCAGCTGAGTAACTACGGCCTATCGCCACTAAGTTCGCGTTACGGCAGTCAGGAATCGTTGAGTCGTCATTACAATACCATGGGCTCAATGACAATGCTTCAAACACCAACGACTACGGTGGGCCGTGATGTCGCTTCGGCGGTGCAAAAGAAAAAAGGTATAAAATCCAGTTTAGGCCGGTTTTTCAGTAAGAAAGACAAAGTGAAAGGAGTCAAAGATACGCTACCAGATGGCTCCACCAGTATGATGTCGATTGGCAATTTATCTATGGGTTTAAGTGAAGGCGAATCGAATTATGACGTAATGAGTATGACGGGCGGTATGGTGCCGCGTATGAGCAATATGTCGGCTTCGAAAATATCCTCAGTCGATTATGGGCGACAGAAAAAGTAAGTATATTGTAAAAAATATACTTATGCAAGAAATTTGTATTTCATCTTTTCATCGCATTTTTAGGGATCATGACTATAGAAATGACTTGTTGGGTGAGGCGATGAAAGCTGGTACACCTTTTGCGTTGTGGAATGGTCCTACCATTGTTGCTTGGTTGGAGTTGTGGGTTGGTATGCCGGCTTGGTATGTGGCCGCATGTAGAGCAAACGTGAAATCAGGTGCCATCATGAGCGCATTGAGTGACACCGAAATACAGCGGGAGATTGGTGAGTCTACAAATGCTATCATTTAAATAATATTCCCAAAAAAACATAAACTATTAATACTTTTATGATGTTTTATTGGTTAATAAGTAAATATATATTTTTGTTTTTGTTTTATTAATGATATTTGCTTTATGTTATTTTAATTTTTTTTTTTATAATATTTTATAGGTATTAGCAATCCTCTGCATAGACTTAAACTACGCCTTGCCATACAGGAAATGGTTTCATTAACTTCGCCATCAGCGCCTCAAACGTCACGTACAACGTTGGCTTTTGGTGAGTAATACTTTTGTGCTTACAAACATATACGATTTTGCTAAGCAAATAATTTAATTTAATTATTAAATTTATTTTCTGTTTTTTGTTTTTTTTTACAATCACATAGGTGATATGAATCACGAGTGGATCGGGAACTATTGGCTACCTGGTCTGGGCCTCCCGCAATATCGTACCACATTCATGGAATGTTTGGTCGATGCGCGCATGTTAGATCATTTAACGAAAAAAGATTTGCGCGGTCAACTTAAAATGGTGGATAGTTTCCATCGTACTAGTCTGCAATATGGAATTTCTTGCTTGAAACGGCTCAACTATGATCGCAGTGAGTTAGAGCATAGGCGTAAAATGTCTGAGAACGGTTTGTGCGATGTGTTAGTCTGGAGTAATGATCGCGTAATACGTTGGGTATGCAGTATTGGGCTAAAGGTGGGTGGCACTAAACCATTTTTTAATTTAGTTGAAAATTAAAATACTTTTATTTATATAATTTTATACTTTTTTTTACTATAGGAATATGCAAATAATTTACTAGAGTCAGGTGTGCATGGCGCACTTGTAGCTTTGGATGAAAGTTTCGACTCAAATGCGATGGCATTGGCTTTACAAATACCAACACAAAATGCACAAGTAAATTTTACAAAAAAAAATTCATTATTTTTTATCAACTAATAATATATGTATATTCCCACGCTCTATCTCAGGCACGTCACACTTTAGATCAAGAATTCAATAATTTGCTGCAAATTGCCACAGATCGAAGGCCGGAGAATGAACAGCATAGCAATTCTTGATCCAACTACGGTATTACGGTCGATATGGCTGAGGAATAAAATAGCAAACTTAATTGAAAACTCAAAAATAGCAGCAACAGCTGCAATGACAAGCAGCTTGCAATAGAAACAACAGCAACAAAAGCCGTGAATAGCATAAATCATTTGGCATGCGTTTACGTACGCGCATATACACCTACATACATTTACGTCGCATAGCGCTGTAGTATACAAATGCAAACCAACATTATGGTGCATAGTATTCGCATATTTCATTTATATGAAAACAAGATAAAAGAAATAATAATAATTTGGCAAAGTCATATGTTGCAGTGATATTTTCGAGCGCCTTGTTGACTGTATTTAATATGTTTCTATATTTCATTTCAGTAAGCAAGGCTAACACATGTCAAATGTAATCACTACATTCATGCATACCATTTATTATACTTATAATAAGTATATGTACGAAATTCATTCATATTTAACTATATTAAAAAAAAAAAAAAAACAACAAACAAAAAATTTAAACAAACAAGCACAACATAACCACGGTTAAAGAAAAATTTTTATGTACGTGTAAAAAAATTCTTTGCGATCAATAATAATCAGCGGAGTCAGGTCACAATGGCAGGAATTTACGGACAAGATATTGTAATCATAAGTTTTTTTTATTTTGTAAACCTAAAGACACACACACACAAAGAAATACGCTATAAGACAAGTAATGAAGGCTTTAGACCAAAAGATAATTTGTTGTATAAAAAAAAAATCAGTTGATGTTTAGGTATAAAGTATAGATTTTTTAACATTTTTACACCAGGCTTTGTTGTATTTATATATTTTTTTTTCTTCTCGTGTTTTTTTCTCATTAATTTTGACCAAAATTTAATTATGCTTGCTACCGATAATTTTCACATATACATATTTTATTGTTCTAATTAGTAACGATAAAATAAATATAAGTAAAAACAATATAGTTAAACTACATTTACAATACATATTAGATGTTATTCGCTACTTTCGCCCCTTACTCTCTCTCTCTGTCACACGATCGTCGGCGTATTGAAATTAAAAGTAAAGTAAAACCTCGACTATTTTCTATATTTCTATATATGTATATAGTCGTTAGTTCCAAAACGAACAGTATTTTGCAGTTTTATAAGATAAAGTGAAATTCAAAGTGAAAAAGAAAGGTGAAGAGAAAACGAAAAAAAAAACAAAACAAAAGCATTAAAAGAACTATCTTAAAGGCATCTTAATCCCCGCCTTCATTGAGCTCAGTGACCATACATACATACGATGTACTATATTCGTGTAAGATATAAGCGCCTGAAAGAGTAACAATAATTACAGCATGCAATGTATATATATATCATTAACTGCTTCCAAACTTGCTAAATGATTGCTCTCAAAAAATTTAAATTAAAGTAAAATTAAAAATACTTATAATACAGATTTACAAATACTTGCATGTACGAACAAATACCGAACACCAAATAGAACAATTAGAACCCATTTTCTACTTTTCAAAAGAATCAAGTACAATTCATTTTGTTATCCCAAACGTATTTATTATCTACATACATACATACATACAATATATACAGTGTGTTCCATGCAAGAGTTCCTCTATGCTAATAAGCTAAACAAAAAAAAAAGCATAAATAATAGTAATTGTATATTGTTCTTGGCGATTTGTGTCGTTTCTTTCTATGTATACGTACTAACTTCTAAACAAGAAATAAATAAAATAAAATAAATGAAATACTTAACTATATAAATAGGAAAATTATTTATAAATATAAAGAAACCTAATAATTGTTGTAAATAGGTTTGTCAAGCAAATTTTACATGTGTATATGTAAAAATTATTAAATACTAATTTTGTTTGTCAAAGTTATTTTCTAAATAATTTGCTATTCCATTTTTTTTCATTCGCTTGCTGTTATTGCTTTTTTCTTCAATAGATTCCTCTCTGTTTTTTGTGAAATTTGGAGAAAAAAATTTCATATAAATTTTGTTTTTTATTAAAATTCTTGCTTTTTTCATTAAAAAAAATTATTTAATATTTTTCTTAAAATTTTATATATAATTGTATGTATATATATAATTGGCGCTTTGTAACCGTCAAAGCCGAGCTCCTCCTCCAAATTGTGGTTTTGCGTCTTGCGACGTTTTACCAACAAATGGAGGGACCTACAGTTTATACTAAGCCGCCTCCGAACGGCTGGTAGTTTTTGTAGCAGCTTTTATTTCACGTCAGAAATACACTCGGAGAGGCCGACATTCCCTGCCGAGGGGCGACCGCAATTACAAAATTTAGCTTAATTTTTTATATAAATAAATTTTCAATAACAATTTTTAACCTTTATTTTTATTCCTTCATTTTATAGACGTTTGTCTAAAGCTAATTTAATTTTTTGCTAATTTATATTTGTATTTTTTATATCTCATATTATGTATCATTTGGTATGAAATTAAAAATGGTTGTAAAAAAAAAATTAAACCTTAAACATATTTAAATATTTTTCTTGCTATAAAATAATAATTATATTCTAATCTTATCTCTTCTTAACTTTTATATTTAGCAGCTAATATTCGTATACACAAACATACTTATATTTTTTTTTTGTAACTGTTCTTTATTTTGTGATTAGCTTTTAATTTATTCTTTCATTTGTAATTTGTTTTTGTTGGTTTAAGGTATTTACCTATTTTTTATTGTTTCACCTACATACATATACAGTTACATATAGATGTATATATATGTATCGTACGAAACGACACAAAACGTCAATAATCATTAACGTTTCACATTTTATTTTTCGATTTACCGTAATACATATTTTCCAAAACTCATTATATTCGTATACACAAACATACAAACATTTTTGTTTAGCTATTCTAATTGTGTAATTCACTTGACTTCCTGATTTACGGTCTATATATTGATTGCTGTTGTATTGCATTAATAAATATCTAGTACGCAAGTACATACAGACATACATATTTATATAACCGTACAGAAAAAACAAATTTGAATGATTAGAAAAATGTAAACGAACCATATATGAGTACATAAAAAAGTACATACATAAATACATAATATGATTTAGGCCATGTATAATGATGTATACCATACTTACGAAACATTTACCTATACAGACATTTCTAAATGCAAAATGCGACATTGAAATTTCAAAACATTAAGGAAATTAAAAAAAAAAACATTTTGCGTTCATTACTGCAAGCATTGATGAAATGGATAAAGATGAGTATTACGAAATGTATTAAATAGCGTTGAAGAGAAGAAAAAACAAACGGAAAATGAAAACAAAAACAAAAACTTAAATCAAATTTAAAATGTGGCAGACAGCAAATATTAAAAAAATAAAAAAACAAAAAACTATTGAAATTAAAAAGCTTTAAAGGCACTATTTAACTATGATTAATTCAAAAAAAAAATTATTAATTTTTTTAGTGTATGCTACTTAAATATTACAATTTAAACAGTTGGCCACAAATGTGAACCGTTAAAATATTTGTAGGTACAGCAATGTGTATACATATAAAAAGGAAATTTACAATTTTCACAATATTTTACCTATGTACTACATATGTATATGTGTATGGACAGTTTTATACAACATAACATTTTCGCATTTATACATATGTATGCCAACAGCTAAACAAAAAAAAAATATTAAAAAAAAACGTCATGGGTCAAGGGAAATTATGGCACAAAACCATATACGTATAAAATACATTTATGTATGTATGTATGTGTGTGCATGTGTGCCAGCAATGCTGCATATAAATATATGTATATTAAAAAAAAAAAATTTCGCTGAAACTAGTTTAAATATTTTAAAGTATTCAAATTTCTTTCAATAGGCAATAAAAAAAAATTATTCACAATGATGCACATTTAATTTCTTTAAATAAATTTATATGTTAAAATATTTGTATATGCATACATGTATAATACATACAGATATTTAATATAAATGTATATTTATAAAGCAATTTTATATTATAATGAATGACATTTGGCTGAAATCAGACACTTATGGACGTTGAGTTTTCTTGTATTATATGATTATATTAGACCTCTGCCCAAATGTATTGTTCATATGTGAAACACAGTATATGTATGTGTGTAAAAAAGCATGTTTTATGAAATTAAATTTAATTGAAAGTCTGTGTTTGAAATTTCATCCAAAACGCTTAAATCAAGTAAGAAAAATAAAATTATTTTTTTTAATTTAATTTTTTTAATGTTATATTTTGTTTGTTTTGCTTTTGTTTTTGTTGTTGTTGTTTTTTGTTTGTTTGTATATTTTTGGTTTTTGCATTTTTATCGCTTTTTGTGTCTCTTTTGTTGTTGTTTTTTTGGTATTTTTTGTTTGTTTTATTTTGGTTTTTTATTTTTATTTGTTTTTTTTTTTGTGTTAATTTTTTTTTGGTATTTCTTTTTTATTGTTTTTTTTTTTCTGTTGAGTGTTCCTCTCAGTTATCTCAATTAGTTTTGGCTTCCCTATTTTTGTGGACCAACGAAAATTTAATCGCCCATTATTGTGAGCGTCTAAATAATATCGCTTAAACTATTGAGTTCAGTTTGGCTATAGATCCGAATGAATGCTCGATAATAATATTTTCCGTTTATATTTTCAAAGCTAATTACATATATATACATATATGTATATATGTATATAATATTCCAATTTTTATTTTTTTATAACTTTTTTTTTTTAAATTTATTTAATTATTTTTGTATTTAATTTTTATTTTTTTTTCTTTTTTAATTTTAATTTTTTTTTTAGTTTTATTTTTATATCTTTCTATCTCTATTTTTTATTTTTTTACTTTTTTATTTTTATATCTTTTCTATTTTTATTTTTTTATCTCTATTTTTTTATTGTTTTTTATATTTATTTATATTTTGTTTATTTTTATATTTTTAATTAATTTTTTTGTTTCTGTTTTTTATTTTTTTTATTAATTTTTTTTTATTTTTATTTTTTATAATTTTTTTTATTTTATTTTTGAACTGTTTTTATATTTCTTTTTTTTATTTAATTTTTTTTTTTTAATTTTTTTTATATTTTTTTTTATGGCAGACGAAATGCTAACCATTCGGCTGTCGCGGTCGCTAATTACATATATGTACATACATATATGTAGGTATACTTAATTATTTATTTATAAATTGTAGATGAAAATTTCAAAAATTGTAAAAAACCTAAACACTATGTGAAATTAAAATTACTTTATAAATTGTGTAATAAGAAAGTGTCTGTTCAAAGCCAATGCCATTACAAAAGCCTTAGAAATTTATTTAACTAATAACAAGAAAAAAAAATGTTTGTTATTTTGTTTTAAGACATCTTTTAGAGATATGTTTTCTTGCAATAGAGCATACATATATACAAATATGGCTTTTCCACAATTTTCTGATATTCTAAACTTTAATTATTTCTTTAACACTCTATGTGTGTCAGACGTACCACATAC